CCCCAAAACCCCAAAACCCCAAAACCCCAAAACCCCTTAAATTCATATTCAGATTGATATAGCAATATAATATATTGGCATCTACATTTCTATTTCTACAGAGTCATTATCATCATCTCTTGGCATGTAAGATCTGCCTCTGAGTTCTTCAGTTCTGTACATAACAAATTCTTCACCTCCAATGCTCGCTTTGATTCCTTTAGGAGGCTCAGGGCCATATGTCAGCAGCTGATCGTTATCTGTAGTTGAGTCTTTTTGCACAAATGTTCCAGATGAAGAGATGTCATAGATACTCATGCTCTGCTTCTCAGGTTTCATATATCAATTCTGGTAATTTCTCAACCCTTCAGATGGAATTGGAGGTTTCTTATATTTATACTGCATCTCAGCATCTACAAATGAACTTGGCACTGTGTTAGTGGGAGTTTCTTTAAAGATCACTGATTTAACAGATGACTCTACAGTCATAGGGTTCATGTCAATACTTTGATTTCCTTCTACAACTTTGAGCCTTTTCCCGATATGAGAGTCTATCTTTCTAGGCTTTAGACCAAGTTTGCTGCTGAGATGCTTCTGAAAATCATCAAATTTTTGGTTTTTCACTTTGCCTTTTGTGATCAAAGGAGAGTTGTCATTCATCATAATTGGAGCAGGTATTCTCTCTTCGTTATTAGTAACTTCGGTGAAATAAGGTTTTAAATCATAATTATTATGTCTTGTAAGGACAGTTTGATACATATCTTCATCAGGATGCTCCATTTTCTGGGTAGATTTATCATCAGAAGAAGTATTTGATTTATTTAAGTCTTCTTCCCTTGACATAAATCCATTTCTCTTCTTCATAGAGCTAAGTAAATATGAGGTATCACTACTTTCAGTCCTTTTATGGGAAGAGCTAGTAGCTTTTACAATAGAAATCTCTGAACTGCCTCTTCTGTGAGCAGCACCAAGAATATCTTGATCATCATACTCCTTTTTCTGGATAAGCAGTTTACTCTTTGAATTTCTCAAGACATTTTTGTGCTTAATCCGATGCTCAATTTCCTTCTGTAGGTTGCCAGGTACATTCTCTTTATTATCTTGAAATCTTACTCTATGGATTAGACCAAAGTGTTACTTTTGGAGGGAATTTTCGAGCTCTGTGACCTTTTTCTTCAGACTCTCATTTTCCTCTGCCATTTTGAGAGCTTCTTCCTCATAGACAGTCACTAGACCTTCTTTCTTCAGGAGTTCTAACATATAGTACTGAATCTGCTCGTTGAGGTCAATTATTGTCTTTTTCGAAACATGTTTAAGGACTGCTCATTTCCTGCATTTTCTCTGAGATTCCATTCTGGAGGATTCAGAGATTTGGTAACTTGGAATCCTGTTATGTTTGGAATTAAACTGTATGTTCTTTAAAGTGCTCGTCTCAATACTGTACTCACTGTTGTTTTGCTTGGCTCTAGGAGCTTTTGATGAAACCAAGTGGTTTACGTTAAAAGAGCTATCCTCTACTTTGTTCATCGTCTGTAAAAATGATAATTTTGAGGTCTTATATGTCAAATCAGGAGATTTAATAGTCTCTTTATGTAAGAAATCTTTTGATATCCTAGTCAGTGAATTCTTGTTCAACTTCGAAAGAGAGAGGTTAGTCTGGGATCTCATGATTGGCAAATTTGAAAGAGGCGCTTTATTTGCTCTTTACTATACTTCTAGCAGACAGTTCTACAGATTAATATCCTCTATTCCCTACCTGTCTCCTTAGAAATGCTGGTATTCTTCTTCTGGATGAAGAGTCTTTTCTGAGAATTATGACGAATCAGGTTCTTCTTGATCTTACTTTTGAGTAAAGTTTTATTCCTTGCGGACTTTATCATATTTAAATTTTTAAAATGTACAAATTTTATAGCATTCTCCTCAATCTTTAATACAAAGGAAGGGGTTTTGGGGTTTTGGGGTTTTGGGGTTTTGGGGTTTTGGGG